AAACAGGCTACCGATGCAGTCCATGCCCAATTATTAGCATCGAGGAGTCTGTATGAAAGTTCTACAACTCATGCACCAGTCACTGAAGATGATGATATTACGTGTTTGTTGCGAGAGAATGCAGAATTGAAATCTGCATTGCAAGCAGAACAGAAGAAAAATATACCTGGAGAAGTGAGGGAAGATCAGAACATTGCAAATATTCTGCAAGAATGTTTGCAAAGTATTGAAGCAAAAGTGGAAAAAATTCAAGACCAATTTCAAAAGCAATTGGACTCAGTGGGAAAGGCAAACATGGAGAAATTAGCGGAGTTAGAAGGAAAAATGACAAAAATAGAAGACTGGATGAGTAAGTTTCCACAACCTTATCCGCAATATGTGCAACATTGGTTGAACAGTTTACCCGAAAATGAAAATATTGAATATTTATCATATTAATATTGACTTAGTCTTACAAGTAAAGTAATATATTACATGTACATATATTGGTAATAATAAATAATAACAGTAATACTAATTTAGAAAAGTATATACTAGGTGTTCAAAATAAACCATTACTAATTATCTCGGAAACACAGCACTTTTAAGAAAAATTGTCCCCTGAAATTAGATAACTCTTGTCTGAGCAATTTTTCTGAAAAGTACCAGGTTTCCGAGAAGCAAAATTGTGACGCTTTATTTTTAACGCACGGTATAATAAAAAAATTAGCACACTTTCCAAGACGGCTATAATTACAAAGTTTACTTGAGTGCTGGTTGTGATATTTTCATGGAAGTAGGGTGTGACAACTGTTGAAATCATAATGTATGATGCAAGAAATATAATACATGATTGCCTCAGACATCGAAACGTAACAGGTCTGGAAAACGTTGATGTGAACTACACGATTCACTTCAACATGCAAAGGTTATTATGCAATATAATGCTCCACTTGTTATTTATGTTATATATCAAATATAACATCCTATATAGGAATACGGCCACCGTCTTTAGTATCTTCTGCCAGTTTAGCTTCCAGCAGTGGTGCTTCATTAGATACAGAGGAAAAGGTGAGTGAATTGCCACTCCGTGAGTGAGGTTAAAGGAGTTCGTCTGTGACAGACTTTTGATTTACTTCCCATTCATCTAATTATTCTAATTTTATTAACTTTATGTGTTCTTCCCAACCATGCAGGTACCTCTTGGAGATGAAGTTTTCTGCTTCAAAGCTGCTTATAGTAAATTGATAAATGTGGAAGAGAGCCACGCTGACTGGGCATATGCTCTGCTCAAAGGAGTCTTTGGAGATAAAGCACATTGTATGAGGATGCGAATTAGCAGCAAATGTTCTGAGAACGAGAAGTTTTCTCAAAACTTCCTCATGGTGGCCAAGTGTATGTGACTGGTTGACATAGAGTTTTTAAAATCATATGATAATTTTAGAGTATATACTGAATAGATTTTTTGTTTTTACAGTTCTGCACCGTAATTGGCTTATCAAACAGACAATTCGGGGTAACAGTGGGCAGCTGCATTCAAAATACTCACCTGCAGAAGTGGAAAAGTATGTGAATGCACTCCCCGCTTATCTCGCGGATCGGGCTTATGATATGCAGAGTGGCTCTCGAGGCGCCAACGTGAGAAACGCCCCTAAGCGCAGGCGAAATGAATCCACCGCGCCGAAACGAAATTATAAGAGAAGAGGACAGCCACTGTCATCGCAGCAACTACCGCAGCAGTCATCACACCACGACCCGATCTCATCAGAGCCGTCATCATTGCAGCAGTACCAACATGTCGATAATTTACAGTCTCAGCAACAACTACCGCAGCAGTCATCACACCACGACCCGATCTCAACAGAGCCGTCATCATTGCAGCTGTACCAACATGTCGATAATTTACAGTCTCAGCAACAACTACCGCAGCAGCCATCACACCACGACCCGATCTCATCAGAGCTGTCATTACAGCAGTACCAAGACGTAGATAATTTGCAGTCACGTTATTTAATTCCGCCACCAACATCAGAAGCAGAACCAATGGGATTTCAACATGTTGAGTACTATGTACTATTAAATTTGAGTATAATTTTGTTAAATATATTATTAATTTGTCCTTAACATTTTTCTCTTGTTTTCAGGACTACTGCAACCACATTTACAAATCTTTAACGTCATATAACATAAGATTAGTGCCTAACTTGATGTTTTTTTTTTATAATAAATGATATTTTTTCACATAATTGTATTTATTGAACGTTCACAAATCAAACGCTTATTTTTACACCGTTTATTTGAATGACAACAGTTAACGCTTGTGAAATGCTCAACGGGTTAGACTACTGTGACGGCACGAAAAAGCAGGTAGTTTTCAGATGCGAATTGTACACCAAATGCGATTTTACGCCAAATCGTCCATTAATGCTTAAAAAATGTAATAACAAAGTTATCCGTTTAACAAAGATACACCGTTTAGAAAAGTGTCGTTTTGAGAAAAACGACTTTTTCTTACTTACCGCTAATCTGACATATCCTTGTTTCGTTCATTGGACCTTCTACTTCAAATCCAGCCTCTTCTGCAGCTACTCTCGCAAATCTACGAGCAATCCGATCCTCTTTAGGCGCATCTCGTACGATGATCTTCTGTTGCGGCGCACGAAATTCGCTCCTCGACGAGATTTTTGCACAAAGTAGGTGCGATCGGCTCAATTATAATATTAATTGTTTGTATCATTAATAAAATGCTTGTATAACTTTTATTGAAAATACTAGCTGGAATATACGATGCAATTTTTATCGTTGCGGTATCACTGAATATTGTTTTTGGCGCAAAGGACAGACCAAGTAAGATTATTCAGACTTTTGTTATAACATAAAATGTATATATACATTTATATAATATTTATATACATGTATATATACACATTTATACATTATTATGTACATATATACATGTATATATACATTTTATATAAGAACGAAAGTCTGAGTAAACCTATTTGGTCCTTTGCGCCAAAAACAACATTCAGCGGTACTGCAACGGTAAAAATTGCATATATTCCAGCCAGTATTTTTAATAAAGATTCCGCAAGCATTTTATTAACGATGCAAAATTATATATATATATATATATATATATATACACATATATATAATTTCCGCTTTACAAACGCTTTACTGACCGTTTTTAAATGCTCAACGAACTCCTGCAAACGCTCGTGTAAACGCTGTGCAAACTCTCAAAAAACGCCTTTCAAACGCTTTTCAAACGGATTACTGGCCGTTTTCAAACGCTCAACAAACTTCCATAAACGCTGTGCAAACGCTGCGAAAATGCTGTGCAAACTATCAAAACGCTTAATACAAACGTCTTTCAAACGCTAAAGCGTTGCAATTTCTGCTTTTTAAACGTTTTACTGACCGATTCTAAACGCTCAACGAACTCCCGCAAACGCTCATGTAAACGCTGTGCAAACTCTCAAAAAACGCCTTTCAAACCCTAAAGTGATGCAATTTCCGCTTTTCAAACGCTTTTCAAACGGATTACTGGCCGTTTTCAAACGCTCAACAAACTCCCGTAAACGCTGTGCAAACGCTGTGAAAATGCTGTGCAAACTTTCAAAACGCTTAATACAAACGTCTTTCAAACGCTAAAACGTTGCAATTTCTGCTTTTTAAACGTTTTACTGACCAATTCTAAACGCTCAACAAACTCCCGCAAACGCTCACGTAAACGCTTAACAAATGCTTATGAAACTTCCTATTTTCGCCAAGATATATATATGAATACTTTATTATATTAGTAATAATTATACAAAAATACTTTTAAAAATATTTGTGTGAACAATATTTATTAAATAAAGAAAAATTACCTGAAATTAACACGATTGTTTCTGTGCGGTGTCGTACACGTGATTGCGTGGTACCACGGAGCCATGCAAGAGACAGCAAGAGAAGACCGGGAATGGTGGGGGTCGGTGCTGCAACCAAGCGCATAGCCTTCTTCCAGCGTTCTTCCCTCCACTTACGCACTCAGAAACGTTCTGTTTATCCGTGTGACAAACTCGTAATTTGAAAAGTTTAATATTGATTATATAAGAAATATAAATTTTAAATTTTATCCATTTATTTTATTATCAATTTACTTACTGGCTCTTAATTAAAAATTAATTGTATATATAATTACCTATTATTATTACAAAACAAATAACAAGTTATAAAATTAAATACCACCACTTATAAAATTTATCTTAATCACTTTTATTCCCCAAAAGTACAAGTCAGTTTCTTTTGATTTCATTACATTTTTTTATTTAGATTTTTCTTTCTTTCAGTCCAAAATTCTTTAACTGGTATATATTATCTGTGCAATACGTATGATTGTGTGATACCTTAATAACGTCTTAATGACGTCAATAAGATGTCATTAAAATGTCATTTGACATTATTTTGCTACTTAAAGTATTATATTTCAACAATATATTGCAGCAATATTACTGTAATATTTCAATATTATTTAAAAACGTGTAATACATCA